AACAATGCAAGTAATGTGTAACCATACAGAAAGAACAAGAAGTGAGCTTGCAGAAATCAACTGGAGGTCCATTAAAAGCGAAGAGGATTGGAGTGAGCGTCCGAAAGACCTTACATCTTCTGAGGAATGGGCAGTGAAAAACGGTTTAAAACAAAACCAGCAAATATGTCATTCTGCCCCAAACGACGCGAACAATTCACATTCTCAGTCGAAGTCCGCTCCCTAATGTCTCCTCAGAGCGCGAACTCGCTTTATTACCACTGAAAGCCTCCACACCAGTTCGAACTTTGTAGGGGACGCAGCAAGGCAAATGCAACTCTTCACTTTATGAGAAGACTACTTGGTGCTTTCACCCCAGAAACATTCTTAACGTCGTTAAAGATATGTGCACGCCCACAACTTGAGGTCTACAAGGTCGTCGCACCCCCTCTCCTTAACAGAAGCGTAAATCTCTTGGATGGAGTACTGAAACGAGCATCGAAATGGGTGATAGGGTTTAGGAACAGACTTTACGAAGATATACTCAAGCACTTGGGATTATTACCCCTGATTAACAGGAGAATCAAAGGTGATCTGATTATGGCATGCAACATGTTAAGCAAGCCAAACTATCCCAACGTGAGCATCTCACCGATGCATAGATCCAATACTCAGGTTTGTGCACACTCGTTTTCATTAGGAGTCATTGCAACTTGGAATGCTCTTCCAGCTGGGGTGACCACAGTCCCCTCAGTGGACAGCTTTAAGAAGATACTTGATAATCACATACCCACATACGGATGATCGTCTCCCTCATGGACAAGCTGTGCCTGTTGCGTGTCTTGAGACCTGCTAGTTGTTATAACTGCCATCTACTCAGATCATTAACCCAATCTATCTCGCCTAGTATCTCTGTTTCCTCTCCCTTCCTTACACTTCGGTCCTCACTCACAATATTCACTACCAACTAAGAAAATAAATAATCTATTTATTCACTTAGTTCTGAAATCTTCTTCTTCTTAGCACTAGACTTTTCTCCTTGTTATTCTCCACATTGAAACTAACTGATATGCGGCCTCGCAATGTGATCGCTGCTGGTATTCAGAAACCTTAATGCCCTGAAACAAGCATGCTCATTCAATTCAGGGGATGTACACACTCACAGACCACTGCCAACTAGAATTAGACAGTCGAGTGTCTAGACGCCTATTCACTGGATTGTAACAAACACCTGGAACCGTACCAAAAGAACAAGAATCAAACGCAAAGGAATTATTTGGTTCTTACTAGCTCGTGGAAAAGATATTAGATATTGGATAATAGCTCTGAAAAGATATTGGATATTGGATTCAGCGTTGTTCAGTTTCGTGCGTTACTATGCCTCAATCCGCGTTCGATAGGGTAAGCACTCAACGTTTCATATTTGGAGTTAATTATCTATAGATTGTCACTCTCATAAATGAGGCATCTTTAGCACATGTCACGAGTATCAAAGTGTCCAATTTACTTCAGGTGAAAGAGTTACTGATTCACAGTGAAAGCTCTCTGCTGGATAACTTTTTTGAGGTACAGCTTCTTTCAGAAGTTACTCATGTTTTAGGAGGTTGTCAAATTTCAACATGATCCAAACACAGAAGTTAAAAAGGCAGTTATTGGTTTTATTGAAGATGCTTGGTGAGTCTGTTGGTGATTTTGCGTGATCTTTTAACGGCAACGAAAGTAATAAGAAAAATTCTGCAAAGCTCTTGTGTAGTATGATGATAGTTGGTTTAAATCTTGGAAGTTTTCATTTTTAAATGACTTGTTTTGTCAGACCTCTGTTACTTAAGTCCACGTATACATTCGGAATATATAAAGAAACTGATAAAATATGTGATATAGTTACAGCTGAAGAAAAAATACCATCAAAGAAAAATTGCATCCACCTAAAAAACCTTGTTCTTTTTAATAGAATAATCGTTTTTGAATCATCTATTCCTTATACATCATGTGACGTTACGAGTTGCAGTCAGTATAGTGTTAGATTTCAGAAAATCTTTCTTTTAAGAAGCTAGAAGAAATACTTACCCAAGCGATATTCCCATACTTTAGAAATCCCTGCGATATGGGTAGGTGACGTCGTTGCATTGTAGGTTAATACAGTTGGGCTTAACCTCGATGGGACATTTTTTCCTAATGGTCGATATCTGTTTCCATTTAGACTCCACAGCATAAATCCTAAGCGCATGTAAATATATATTCTCGTTAAACCTTGACACTAAACAGATTTTCACCCAAAAGTAATTTAAATGTCTCAAGATATCCATCATTCTAACTATTATTGTGAGCACATATTTTATGATACGATTATTTTAAATGGTCTGTGAATTATGTTGTGTTGAATTTGTGACCGATCATAAACGTCCTAACTAGTTTATGGTTCTTAGCTCACTCCGTCATACCATTTTCGGTACCTCTCGGATTACTTCTAATACCTTTACTACCTCTTCTGCTATTGGATTTGAATTGAAAATTATGTCTCTGTGCTGATAAGGTATGGCAACATGAACTGATGTACTGACGTACAAAGTTCTACGTTGCATCTGACTGACTGACCTCAAAAGTTAACGAGTGTAGGATTAAGCGAAAGCTAACTAATCTTCCAGATCATAGTCCTCGAAGCCAAAAGTCATTAGTTGGAAGCGTTAAATGAAATGACTTGAAGTCTGCTAAATGTTTATATCCTTTATCATTGTGCGAATAACGTTGTTAACTTGCTACCTATCCCCCGTTTCTATATTCTCTATTCTGACCAGTTTCCGACCAACGTAATTGTTTCAGCTTTTTTGTTTGTTGATTTCATCGCTTTGAACTATTCTAAAGCTTAGCAAATAAATTCTGTTTATTATTTTAGGAGAGTTTATGTTTAACCAGCAATTCTATGTGTTTATTCGGGCTTTTTTAATCTTCATTGTTGTTCTCTTGTGTCTGGTGGAAAAGTTCATCTAAAAGGATTCAGTTGAGTGATAAGCACTGTGATGTGGTTCAAATTTTTCTAAAACTAATGCTTGAATCCTATCGTGATAAAGTTGTATTACGTTTGCTTGATGTTAAATAGTCATAAAGTATTTGTAATTGTTGATGAGGTTAGGAAATAGACTATCATACCCGATAGCTTCGTTTTACCACTGACGATTTTAAAAATATCCTTGAAATATCATTATTAATTGTGGCGTTTTGAAACAATCAGTTGTATAAAATCTGAATATATTCTTAATTTTTGTCTTTGGCACTTATTGGTGAGTAGGATTTAAATATTAATGATAGTGGCGTCGCTTTCCCTACTTGTAAGATAGAGAATGTCGGACAGTGTGCAACAACTAAAACCAAATTTGCAGCTGTATTGATATAACCGCTTTTCCAAAAGCCCATGGATTGTGTATCTAACGCACTAATCGCTTTAAAACAGTTTGACATTTTTGCCAACCTGCGTCACCTATGGCGCAAGTGAGATATCCGCTTGCTAACGAACTGATTAGTGTGCCGTGCAGCAGATCGCTCCGTCCTACTGTACAGATGCGTAACATGGCCATTAAGAGTAGAGGACTTTCATAGGTTACTATTCTTCGATCGTCGATGTCTCCAAAGTATTGCTCGTGTATCATGGGACAACTGTACAAGCGATGCTGTTGTTTGGAAACGAGTTCTAGGTAGGGATCGAATCATATCTTCGAACTATAATTTTCTCCATTACTGCTAATACTTCTACTATCGCTATCACTCTTGGATTTGAACTGACAGTCGCGTCTCTGTGCTGATGTGGTATGGCAACCTGAACTGATGTACTTACATACGAAGTTCTGCGTTGTATCTGTCTATTAATGATAGTTTTTAAAATGTTGAAGACAAAAGCAGGAGTGATACGTATCATCCATATATGTAACTTAATGATTGCACTTTTGAGTACCCTTGTATTTTATTTGCTATACGATTTACATCTACATGCTTGTCAAACTAAATAATTAAATTTCAATCTGTAGTCGTGTCGATACAGGTCTTCTAAAAAGAGCAGTAGGATCTCTGTTTTATCTGTTCTCAACGGCGATACAACAAGATCCCCCATCTGTTAGTTTACTGAGATGCCTTACGGCAGCAATGATACCTATCTACCGGATTGCATTATCTCGTGCCATCAAAGTTGGAATAATTGATTCTGGTGTGTCAATGGGTGGCGGTTGCGGAATAATTGCCAATTCAACTGCTGATATAGCTTTGGAGACATTTCGAAGTGTTGCTGGACTCAAAGATGAAATCGTTCGGTTGATGTTACCTTCAGAAGTCTCTGGAACATCGGTTTTTGGTCAATACCATCCTTCAGTGTTTAATGATACCATAAGAATCCAGGCAATCAGTCTTATCGAGGTTAGTTTATCTTATTTTTTTCTGGAAATATTTATCACCAAGCATTAGTTGTAAGTGTCGTCCCTAAAAGCATGTCAACAACAAAGTTGAATAGGAATGGAGAGAGTGGGCAACATTGACGAACACTACTTGAGGTAATCAATTCCGATGACAGTTCTAAACATACTCTAGCTCGGCCAGTAGTGTTCGAGTAGAGAGCTCGTATAAGGTTAATGTACTACTTCTGTGGTACTCCTTTTAATGACAGGCACTGCCACAGAACCACACGATCAACAGAGTGGAATGCCGCTTTAAAGTTGGGAAAGTATGTCTTTGCTCTAGGACCTGACGTAGTGTGAATATTTGGTCTATACATCTGCGTCCAGGTCTGAAACCAGCCTGGTTTTCTCTAGTTTTCTCTCCACGAGCTCTGGTTAGGCATCCGAGCATTAATGAAGCCAGTATTTTAGACACTATATTAGTTAAACTGATTCCTCTGTGGTTGTAACAAGAGGACTTTTGTATTTTCTTGTAGGCTGAAACAGTCAGTGATTGAGACCAGTCAGATAGGGTTACACCCAGATTCTGTCTAAGATCTCAGTCAATCTAACTGCTAAAACTGGGCCACTATCCTTAAAAATCTCAGGGGTCAATCTATCAGGACCCACAGCTCTCTCTCGCTTCATATTTCCTATAGCTTTCTCAACCTCATTCAGAGTTGGAGGACTTACATCAATTTACCGTTCAAGTTAACTGGAGATCATTGGTAACCGAAATGTGACTAAAGGACAGTTGAACCGATCCCTAGTGTTCTGTCCATCGATCCAATCTCATAGATTGAGAATGAATAATAGTCCGAGATAGTCTCACTAACGGTCAGATTCCTAACACCAGTTTCCTTGATAAGTAGGAACAGTCGTCTACTGTTACCTATTACCACTGCCTTTTCCATCTCTCGCTTTTGCTCTTGATCGGACTCCGCTCATTATTTTCGGAGCCTTATGGGACGAGTTTCCAAGCATCTATCACTTCGGTAGATGCTGCTGAGATCCATTGTTTATCCCTAACCTTATAGTTTACCTTACTAACACACATCACTGTTGTTTCCTTAGATTTATGGATATCATTCGAAGCTGCCTCAGTTTAACACTTAAATGTTGATTGTACGAACCGTTCAGTCAAAACAGTGGTCTACAGTGACTTCGTAATGAAGATTATCGAAGTCATTACATTGAGGAATGGCTCAGTAATTAATGGATCCTAAATCATATGGCTGAAAATGTAAATAGTGCTTCTCCTTTAGAATCAACAGCTAGTCATCATCACCTGTCTTCACACAGAAAGTTTGACTTACAGTCGAGTACAAAAATCGGTATTTGAATGATACATAAGCTTCTACTACTGTAATCATATCCTTTACAAATACTCATTTTATTTCTA